TTTCCCTTTTAATTTTGTTCAGACCGAACCCACTTGTATGAGTTCCTCTCTATTGGGTTGTAAGTTCTTCCTCGTCTGCAATTGAATCGACGTCCACAACCCTTATCAGTTTGACATTTTCTTTCTGGTTTCTCTACAACCGTTGCATTTGCTTCAGGGAATGGTTTGGTACCCGTAGGTCGGGAACTGTGGTTTTAGATGAGAAGTTCATTATTTTTCTCTGTTATTATGAGTGTTATGATCAATTCAGAGAATCTCGTATACCCACAATTCCTATACATTTTTTGTAGGACACAATGTTCTTTATGAAATGTGAGCGAGGTACGTCTTTTCGAGCATTTCTACCTCAGTGACGGGCTTACCACAATATTCTAGTTGTGAGACTATTTTCAGAATAGCGGAATTGTATTCCTCAACTTTTTCAAAATCTTGAAACCTCAAGTTTTTCCACTCTTCAAAAGCATAGGAAATGTTTATTTCCCTTTGGTTGTCAACCTTATCTGTAAGTGTTTGTTACAGTTCTGCTGGATCTTTTATGTGTGTATAGTCATGCACCACATTTTTATCTAGATGTTTTCTTAAGAAAATAATCGACTTTGTCTTATCTTCGGCAGAAGATTTATTTTCCTCTTTTATGGTATCGGTTAACTTTTCTGACTTTAGATGAAGTTTTACATCGGTGATTCATGCTTTATGTAGTTTGCTCTGGCAACTTAAACTTCTCAGTGTTTGCCATTTAATTTTCTAAAACATAATTGCAAAAGCATCATTAGTAAGATAATAATATTGTATGCTAAAACGAACTGTTTACATGAATAAATAAAGTGATTATAAAAAAGAATATTACATAGAAAAGTAACATAACAATTGAGATATACTTTTCGAGAGTAAATTCTCCAATAGAGCGTCCATAAATGGAAACAAAATTACAATTGCGCTTAAAATCAACAACAAACGAATCATTCTTCTTATAGATGAAAATCGAAAAATATTTAAGAGAATATATAATGTTTGAGTAAGTTGAATAAATAAAAAATAAGTATATTTATAGATTGAAAACACTGTTCATAGCCGTTTGAAAAAGTAAAAAATTTTGAAATTTTTTCATAATTAGCAAAATACACTATTTAAGTTTTTGAAATAGTAAAATACACTGTTTTAAAAAAAAAATTGGAAACTACACTTTTGGAATATGTATAAAGACTTTTTTCACCAACGATAATTAGGGATTATATATTCTAATAAATAAAAAAATAAAAATTCGAAATTATTAATATTTTAGTATTATGATGAAATATCTAATTACTTAATATTTTAAAATTTATAATTGGATAAATCTTTAAAATATTTTAAAATTTATCCCTACCAAAAAAATAATTTTATTAGTGTTATATATAATAGGTAAACTACTTTTATCGACAATTGAGTTTACTTAATAAAGCAAACAAACAATATCAACAATAAAACCAACCTCTCGTTTACATATCTTATGAACTCGAGAAAAGATACAAAAAAAATCTAACTCAGCGGCTGGGTTCACGTTTTCCCAACACGTCTCCTTCTATGGATGTTCAGGGGATCTCCATAGACTTCAGATTATTGTGTTGGTGAGCAGAAACCTTGCCCCAACTTCTTTGCAAGACCCAACATACTGAGAGTGTCCATTACATTTGTCTTGTAAAACGATCATTAAGGATCAGCCACTATCCTCATATAAAATAAAAGAATAAATCTCGTTATCCCAGTATATGCATTTTATCACAAAAGATGAAAAGATCATAATAATTCCTAGAGATTCTAAGTGCATGCACTATAGTAGAAAAAATTGATGTGTTACAGAAACTAATAACTGTGAACAGAAACCTAATGCTGCCTAAATTGAAACAATAGATTTGCAATTAGAAGTGGCATTTAAGGAGCAAATTGCGATACGCAGTAGCAAAACGATGTAGACTATATAAGTCATCAAAAGGATATGAAAATCTTCACTGGATTACATATAATGAATATGTGATGTTGGGCAAGCTAAATGTAAAATTTCTGATTACTAATTAGATCTGTAAATGTTAGAATATATAAGTTTTTATTACTGTTCTTAAAAACTTTTTTGATTTAAATATTAAACTATTATCTAGGTTAATTTAGTCATCTTACTTACAGATAAGTGTAGTTTTTTAAAAAAAATTAAAAAAAGTGTATTTTCTAAATTATAAACTCATTGGGAAGTATTTTCTCAAATTTTCTCTTAAATCTATCAATTTTGTTTTAGATAAAAAAAATTTATATACAAGTGGCATAGCCTCTTTATATAATAATCTATATATAAAAAGATATTTAACAATATTATGTTGACATAATCATCCACATTATTTATATTATTTAGTAAACTACGATGCGATACAATCGGCCACTATAATATTAATAAAAATGAATAATTATGATGTATTTAACTGACTATGATATAAACACGGTAAAATAATAATGAAGCGACAAACCATACAATATAATATTTAGATGGATGTTGAACTGAAGAATTTGAGACAATGGAAGCATTTTGTTTTGATTTCAGGATATATTTGTAGCAGGCATAGACACATCTGCAATAAGTATGGATTGGGCAATGGCAGAGATTGCAAGACACCCAAGAGTGATGAAGAAACTACAAACCGAGATACGCGAGCTCGTAGGAGACAAAGGCAAAGTAACCTACGAGGATCTCGAGGGTCTAGAGTACATGAAAATGGTGATCAAAGAGACTTGGAGGCTACACGCACCGAGTCCGATCCTGATTCCTAGAGAGGCAATGTCCAAATTCAAGATCAAGAACTACGACATTTACCCTGGAACACGGATTCACGTGAATACATGGGCGATTGGACGTAACCCTGATGTGTGGAAAGATCCTGATGAGTTTATACCAGAGAGGTTTGTGGATAGCAATGTTGATACCAAAGGGACGAGTTTTGAGCTCTTACCGTTTGGGAGCGGACGCAGAGGTTGTCCTGCGATGTATATGGGTTTAAGCACGGTGGAGTATACATTGGCTAATCTTTTGTATCATTTTGATTGGAAAGTTATGGAGGAAGTGAGTATTGAAGAAGCTCCTGGTCTCACTAGCCATAGGAAGCATCCTCTTCATCTTGTACCTGTTAATGTCATCCATCGCAAGTTTTAAGAGTTTTGTGAAACGCAAACGCTGTTTACAAAGAATAATGACCAATCAAGTTTGTTTGTTTGTTTGTTCGAATGTTTAAAGGACCAATGTTGAAGATTCAAAAGTGAGAAATTTGCACGACAAAACGGAAAGGACCCTTTTATTCAACAAATGATAATTTTACTGTTCAGAACAAGTAAGATCATCAAAAACACCAGAGACGTTATTGAAAACCAGAAAACACTTCACAACCGAAAAAGCTTTAGGGTCTCTCTCTCTGTCTCTTTCTTCAGGTTTCATCTACGAAGAAGAATTCGTCTGCACCCATTCGACAAGCGTAGCAACACCAAACCCAGTCCCAGACTTCTTCTTCTCGTTCCAAACCGGTCCAGCCATGTCTATATGCATCCATTGCACCTTCTCGCTCACAAACTGAGAAACCGCAAAAAATACCAAATGGTTGTGTTATTTTCACCGTTTTTGTTTTATATCAGAAACATCTAGTGTATGGTCTTTAAAGAGACTTTGTTTTCACCTGTTTCAAGAAGAGAGCTGCGGTGATGGAGCCTCCTGCACGCCCGCCTGTGTTGACCATATCAGCCACTCCAGACTTCATCATCTCCCAATAACTCTCTTCTAATGGCATCCTCCATAGCTTCTCTCCACTCTTCTCTGACGCAGCAATCACTTCCTTTGCAAGCTCGTCGTTAGGTGTGTAGATCCCTGCCAAGCGACAATCATCATGAGCCAACGTTATTTAAAGAATCCCAAATCACATAGCGAGACAAAGATGTATAGTTTCTTCAGGGTTGTTTAGCTATGTACCAGCCATCGATGTTCCAAGAGCAATAACGCAGGCCCCGGTCAACGTAGCGAGGTCAACAATCTGCAAGTTATCTCACAATTATAAACAGAAACAATCTCCTTAAAGCTTCTCTTATCAATAAAGCCAACAAAAACCAATGTCATACCTTGTCGACGCCCTGGTTACAAGCATACACTAGAGCATCAGCAAGTGTTAGACGACCTTCAGCATCTGTGTTGTTGACCTGCACACACACATTGTCAACAATTAGCATGACACAAGAAAAACAGCAAAGCTCGAACCTTTAGAAAAGAAAAGAAAAAGCTCGGATACCTCAATGGTCTTTCCGTTTGAGGCTGTGATGACATCTCCAGGTCTCATTCCGGTTCCACTAATCATATTCTCACAGGCTGCAACGATGAAATGAACCTGAATGGGAAAGATCAATTGGTTAGTTACCTTAAGAAACTCTAGCTTCACAAAAGTATCTGATGGGAGAAAGCTTACCTCAACACCAGGAGGCTTAATCTCACCAATAGCTTTCGCAGCGCCAAGAACAGCAGCTGAACCGCCCATATCGAATTTCATGAGCTCGATCGAGCAGCCAGGTCCAGTCTTGATGTTGTAGCCACCACTGCAAACACAAATCATACGATCAACAACCACTAAATCAACAATAAAAGAGACAAATTCGTAAGAGCGTAAAAATTCAAAGCAAGTACAGAAGTGAGATGCTCTAAGGGATTACCTGTCAAAGGTCAATCCTTTTCCAACAAGAGCAAGTTTGGTCTTAACAGAGCCACTCGGGGGTTTATAGACAAGGTGGATGAAGTAAGGAGGATTAGCCGATGCAGCAGCAACAGCTAGATAAGAGCCCATCTTCAACTCTTTGCATTGCTCCTCGTTCAAGATGTTTGCAGTGAAGACATCACTGTAGGTAGAAGCCACTTTTGCTGCTTCCTCAGCTAGTACAGCTGAAAAAGATACAAAACCAATAGAAGATTAGGAAAACAAAAACATGACGATGCTAAGCCCACCATGAATGTTCGAGAGTGAAACGATCTATACCAGGAGTAAGCACATTGGCAGGAGAATTAGTGAGTTCTCTCCCAAAAATAACGCCGTAAGAAACATCTTCAGCATACTTGAGCTTCTTTTCTAATTCAGGTCCAGTTCCAAATCCAATGATATCAACAGATTTCAAAGATGGTTTCTTTGATTCAGACTTATACCTCCCATCTTCAAACAAACCGAGCACTACGCCTGTCCACAAGTAAAAAAATAAACCACAAATGAGTTCTAATTTCTAAAGACTCGAACTTGTGTTATACTAATCTGAAGTTACCTGAAGCTATAGCTGATGCAGAAGCAAGCTTGGATTCAATTTCAGGGGAGGCAAGCACAATAGCAACGCTGCTAGATTGAGAAGCTTTTGACACTGTGGCTACAGCTTCACCGAGGCTCTGATAAGCAACAGGTGAAGAAGAAGCGGATTTTCCAAGACCGATCAAACCGATCCGTTTTGATCCTAAACCGGGAAGCCTAAGAACAGTTGATTGACCGGGTTTTCCGGTGAAATCTTCCTCGGAAGAGACTAAAGCTAAAAGTCCACTCAAGTGAGCATCGAGCTTGTTCAAGATCGGATTCTCGAACTTTGAGTGATCGTCTTTCGCCAAGTCTTTCTCCGTCACACCAACAACGAGTGTGTCTCCTTTCCACTCCGTTACATCGATCTCCTTCGCAGCGAACGAGATCTGCTCAAAAAGACAACATCGAAATCGATCGATTAAACAAAACAGAGCAAAATCTATGGATCACTGAATCGGAACTAACTAAAATTCAAATCAATACAAAACCCATCTCAAAATCAGAGTAAAGCAAAGAGACAAAAAAACGAAACAAACCTTAGGAAGCTCGGTGGAGTTGGGTTGAGTGAGGCCAAGAGTGTGAGGCATGGCTTTGGGACTCGATCAACACTAGAGACGTGTGATTGAGGAAGACGAGGAAAATGAGAAAGGAGATGAAGAGAAAGCAATGAAAGTGCCGTCAGAGCAATCGTGTTATATAGAAGAAGAAAGTTGTTTTCTTTTGGCGATAAATTATCATCCGACCCATCAATACGGGTTTTATATCCGACCCGGATATGTACAAATTGAAATGTTGTTGTTGATTATGCACGTGTGTGTCATTTTAACCAAACCAAGCAAATTACAATTGATGTGAGATTAAAAAAAGAAATACCAATAAATGGTAAGAGATAATTGCAAAATTAATTCACTCTTAATTCACTCTTGTTTTATACCATGATCTTATGTCTATCATCTTTGTTTACTCTACCTGATTTGTTATGAATTTTTTTTAGGTTATATATTTGGTTGATACATCTAGACGCTTTAGTTTATTGGTTTAAAAAATTCTTTAGTCTTAGTGGGATTAATTAACGGTTATGCATTTGTTTTTCTTTGACCGTAAACTCTTATTTCGGTGGACCTTTCAATTCAATTTACAACCTCAAATCTTCTTTTGATCTCATCTGGACACTGTTGACTCTAATGGGTTTTGCCATAAAATTAGTAGCCCTCTTTTATTGGACCCGGTTTTTTTTAGAACAATTCTTGGGTTCACCCCTAGGGGTGAACCTCATTATTCACCCCCTTCTATTATAACCAATCAAAATATGCCATTTAAGATTTAAAATAAATGAATATTATTTTCATAAAACAATTAAGGTAAGTTGACTTTTTTATCACAGACAATTAAAAATTTAATATTATTCAAAATATGCCATATAAGATTTAAAGTGAATTAAAAAAATAAAAATAAAAACAAAATAGAAAAACGAATTAATAATAAAAAAATCAAAATTTAATTTTTAAATTTTAAACCATAATCCTTATACCCTAAACCGTAATATATAAATTAAAAAAAAAACTAAACCCTAACTCCTAAACCCAAATATTTATCTTTTAAAAAAAAATAGAAATAAAAACTAAACCCTAAACCCTAAACCAAATATTTAAAAAATTAAAAAATAAAAACTAATTCCTAAACCCTAATCCCTAAACCCAAATATTAATTTTAATAATATATATTTGGATTTAGGGTTTAGGATTTAATGTTTGTTTTTTATTATTAAAATTAATGTTTGGATTTAGAGATTAGGGTTTAGGATTTAGTTTTTATTTTTCAATTTTTTTAAAAATTTAATGTTATGCTTGGGTTCACTATTTTAATTTAGGGTTTAGTTTTTTCATATTAGAAAAGAAAATTTAAAATATGTTATTTTGATAAATTACTTTAATTAATTTTATTATTTAGCTGATTTTTATTGGTTAAAATAAGAAAAAGTAAATAAAAGAATAATTTTAATAACTAAATCAAATTATTTCATTTGAATAATATTAAATTTTTAATTGTCTGTGATAAAAAAGTCAACTTACCTTAATTGTTTTATGAAGATAATATTCATTTATTTTAAATCTTAAATGGCATGTTTTGATTGGTTAAAAAACAAGGGGGTGAATGAAGAGGTTCACCCCTAGGGGTGAACCCAAGAATTGTTCTTTTTTTTAAGAGTGAATTAAGTCAATATTAATAGATAATTGAAAAATTAGTTATATACAATTGATACCTTGTAAATTAGTTAAGTATAAAAGAGAGAAAAATTATAAACCAAAAATATCCTTAGTATTCAAAATAACAAAAATGTCATAAATCTGACAACTTATTTTCTGGCCAATCATGTTGGAAATACTGTTTATCCATTGATCGGAGATATTATTCATGAGAAGATCGATGACACTGTTCATCACCGGAAAACATGGTAACAAAAATTAACATAATAATAGTTATTTTGTTAACATGTTATGTAGAATGTTAACGTGCTTACATAATTAACATGATAACAATTATAATAATAGGTATATAGATATTAACGTGCTAACAAAAATATTCGATACTTATAATGTGTTAACAATAATATCCACTATTTGCAACATGTTAACGTATAAAATACTTGAATAATATCTTGTTAATTTAGTTATTATAGTAAAGTTATACAAAATTATCCTGATAACTAATTTCGTTATTGATAACCTCAGAATATTTGATTACATAAAGTCATAAATATCCTGAACACTCATAAACATAAGCATTGTTGTCATGGCAACATCGACCTCCACCATTTTTCACAGTGTGTTTTCTTCTCCCGTCTTTCTCTCTTTCTTTCTTCTTCTTTTTCTTTTTTACCATTTTTCACCGTGTGTACTTCTTCTCTTCTCTCTCTCTTCTTCTTTCTTCTTCTTTTTTTTTTCTCATCCGAGAGTATTAGAAGAGAGAGAGAAAGATACAATTGTAATAAGTATAAAATCATAGGGATAAAATAGATTTTTGATAATGAATAGTAAAAAGTAAATAGTGTCTACTAGAGAAAACTAATTTTGCAATTATCTCTTACCATTTATTGGTATTTCTCATAAAACAAAGGAGTAAGGAGCAAAGAGTTAAACTTTTTCCTCCTGAAATCTATTAGCAACCCATCTCTCTATTACAAGTAGCTTTGTTTCTGATTTAGCAACCCATCTCTCTATTACAAGTAGCTTTGTTTTTGATTTGTAACTTGTGGGATGGTGGAATGGTAAAAAGAATTTTGCAGAATAAAATTATTTCATAAAGAGAAAATTATAAATAAATTATTTCATCCTGCAAAATTATTTTCGTTGTTCCACCATTCCACCATTCGACAAGATTACTAATCAAATATTTGTTTTTTTTGTTCTTGTAAACTCTTTTAAAAAATTCAAAATACTAATCATGTTTGCTTTACTAAAATTTTGTCCAAAATACTTTCCAATCTTGTTTGTTCTAACTGAGTAACAAAATTATTGTTAATAGTTCTTTTTCTATTAAAGGTTAGTTCAAAACAATTCTAGGTTTACTAACTATAAATTTGAACAGTTGTACTTCCAGCTACTAACAATTACATTTTAATTAAGAGTTTGGTTATAATTACTTTTCTAAGTTATGAACTAACTGAAGCTTAAACCAAACCAAAAACCCAGAATATATATATATATATATATATATATATATTTGTCAACAATGTCCTAACACGTCAATAATGTCTGCTACAACATCAATAATAGTTTAGTGAATAATTTTTAGATGATATTTATCTAATTCTACACCATGTTATTCATATAAGTTTGACGTAATGACGTCACTGACACAAGAAAATAAATCTGCTACCTAATAAATAGTTTTGTAAGTTATAACTTAGAAGAAAATAAGAAATCAAAGAAAATGTGTGGATATAAACTTGCTAAACAGACCTACCTACCGCTCAGCGGTTCGGTTCACTATAGTAATAGAAAACAAACTACAATCATAGGATCTTAGCCGTTAATAGCCAGATTAGCAAATCCGACGGCTATGGATCCGTGAACTCCTAACGCTTCATGAGTCATGAGACCAATCGGGTATCGGCTATCGCATGCACGGTTCCTTTCTTCTCCGGAATAATTGCAAATGACTAAATAATAAAGGGGGAGAGATTTAAAGAAATGACCACTTTGAAAGACCATAATCCCGAGTCAGAATTATCAGTCAGTGAGTACTCTTAATTCTCAATTCTGGGTTTTTCTTTCTCAATTTTGGGTGTTACGTGATGAATTTGATACACTGATAACCATCGAAGAACATCAGTAACTTTTCTTCATGGGTTTCTTCGAAAGATTTATTTTTTTAACAATCCTCTGTTTTTGTTGTTGAAAATCCTGTTTGTGTAGTTAGGGTTGAGATAGATCATAAGAATCTGATAAAGCTGAGATTTTTCAGGTTTGGGGGGTAAACCTGAGACGATTTTGGTCTAAATTCACTTGAGAAATCTTCAAAGTTTTGATTTTTAGTTGTTAGATACAGATCACACTCGTCTTTGATACTATTTTCACCAGTGCGTGTGTATGTCTATGACTGTTGATTCCGATTCTAGAACCCTTTATCGATTGTTTTGTTGAAACTTTTGTACATAGTGAATACTGATTCTCATTTGCTTCTTTCTGAGAAATTTGCAGTCAATATTTGCAGAATTTCACATCTTTTTTTCTAACCAAAGTTGCTTTATGTTCAGGACTTATAATGGATGAAGAAACAGAACGCCAATCTGTTACATTTTCATATTCAAATTGGATGTCAAACGTCAAGAAATCGACACGAGAAGCTTACGAATCAAGACCCCTTTCACATTGGATTCTCTTGATTCTAAGCGGCGCGTCAATGCTCATAGCCTTCCCGGCTTCTAGTCTACTGTCTCGTCTTTACTTCTCCAATGGTGGCAAAAGCAAATGGATCATCTCTTGGGTTGCTGTGGCTGGATGGCCAATCACTTGTCTCATCTTACTTCCCACATACATCTTTCGAAAGATCAAACCCACACCTCTCAGCACAAATCTTGTTCTTTCTTACATCTTGCTCGGTTTCTTGAGTGCTGCAGATAACCTCATGTATGCTTATGCCTACGCTTACCTCCCTGCATCGACTTCTTCTCTTCTGGCATCTTCTTCGCTTGCGTTCTCTGCTTTGTTCGGCTATCTCATCGTGAAAAACCCTTTGAACCCTTCGGTTATCAACTCCATTGTGATTATAACCGCAGCTATGGCTATCATAGCGCTGGATTCAAGCTCTGATCGGTACGATTATGTAAGCAACCGACAATACTTTGCAGGTTTCTTTTGGGACATAATGGGATCTGCGCTTCACGGTCTCATTTTCGCCTTATCGGAGCTTGTCTTTGTGAAACTGCTCGGAAGAAGGTTCTTCCACGTCGCTTTGGAGCAGCAAGTCATGGTTTCGCTCGTGGCTTTTGCGTTCACCACTCTTGGGTTGGTTGTGAGCAAAGATTTCCAAGGGATGGCTCAAGAAGCCAAGAGTTTCAAAGGCGGCGAGTCTATGTACATCCAGGTTCTTGTCTGGAGCGCGGTCACGTTTCAGTTGGGTGTTCTTGGGGCCACTGCTGTCTTGTTTCTAGCATCCACTGTCATGGCAGGAGTCCTAAACGCCGTGAGAGTGCCCATCACTAGCGTAGCTGCTGTCATATTGTTGCATGATCCCATGAGCGGCTTCAAGATTCTGTCTTTGCTTTTGACTTTTTGGGGATTCAGCTCTTACATATACGGTAGCTCGAGCTCAAACTCAAGTACTCAAGCTACCTCTTCTTCCTAATTTGCAGCATTTGCCTCTGTTTCTATTCATTGAAGTAGAATCTGTAAGTCTTTATTCCTTAATTGTGATCAGATACAGATTCATGTAATATATGATTATGTTCCGGCTAAAGTCGGAACTAGTTTTATATGAAGCAAGAACAGTAGAGATAGATATGGAAGCAAACAAGCTCGTATGTACAATCGATACACTTGAAGAAGAAAACAGTAAAAACAAGGCAAAGAAATAAAACTTTCAAGGGAGATTTTGGAGAGATTCAGAGTTTCATTGGTTTGGTTTCGGTTCAATATCTTTAAGAAGACCAACTACTTGCTGCATACTTGGCCGCTTTGAAGGAAGATCAGCCGTACAAAGGTATCCAATCTTGAGAGCTTCTTCCATCTGATCTTCTGAGCCTGTCTCTTTGATTTTCGGATCAATAGCTTTTGATCCTTGATTCTTCCTAACCAAACTTCTAACCCAACTCACCAAGTCAACGTCTTTCTCATCGAGATAATCATCTTCAATAGGCTTTTTCCCTGTGATCAGCTCAAACAGAACAACACCAAAGCAATAGACATCGCATTTCGGTGTTGGCAGCTCGCGTTCGGTTTGCAAGAACTCAGGAGGAAGATAACCGGGTGAGCCGTGTGAGATCTCATCATCCAATCCGTTTCCAAAGACTTTGGCTAAACCGAAATCGGATAGTCTCGGTTCCCAATTCTGGTCAAGATACACACTACTAGCTTTCACATCCCTATGGATCATTGGTGGTGAACAACCATGGTGAAGGAAGGCCAATGCTCGGGCAGTTCCAAGTGCTATCATGTGCCTAAACCGCCATGTCGCAACCGGGCCTTCAATGCCTATGTTCTTGATTCCATTGTCACCGTCTTCTTCCCATGTATCCGTGCTCCAATCATCAGTTGTCTGAACTCCAAATGGCAAATCTTGAAGCAGATTCTGCAAGTTACCATTCTCCATGTACTCGTAAATGGCGATCCTTTGGTCTCCGGCTATGCAATATCCAGTTAAAGGAACAAGATTTGGGTGCTTGATTCTTCCAAGAAACTCAAGCTCTCTAGCTGCTTCTTGGTCACTAAGAGATGAGCCGTGGACCAAAACTTTTACAGCTACATGAATCCCACCGGGGAGGAAACCTCTGTAAACAGGACCAAACTTACCTTCTGCTAAGAGAGTGTCTCTGTCGAAATTGGAAGTTGCGGACAAGAGATCCGAGAACGTGATGTTCAACAATGGCTTCTCAAAAATAACCACTGGAACCGCATTTGCCTGCTTGACATCAGCCACCCATGTAGTGGAATCTGTTTGGAAAGAGAATGGACCTGAAATGCTTTGTTCCTCCTTAAATGAGACATCTTTGGCTTCATGGGATTTGGGTGTCCTTCTCCGGCCAAATGCTACAAAAACCAGTGCAGCTACGAGTAAGAACATAGCAGAAAGAGTCACTCCCAAAGCCAGCTTAAGTCCTCCATTGGCTGATCGTCTTCTCTTGAAGAGCCCCGGGTTTGCAGCGATAGGGCAGCTACTTGTAGAACCAAAGAAGGATCTGATCAGAGTTTCTTGTGAGAATTTTCCGGTACAAAATGTTAAGTTGTTGAAAGAGAAGTTGAATCTCTCCATCCAAGGGAGCTTCTCAAGGATAGACATTGGTATCTCTCCCGTCAAGTTGTTCCTCGAAACATCCATAGCCACGAGGTTCTTGATACTTAAAACTGGGATTTGTCCTGATAGATGGTTTCTAGAAACATCGAGTGTGCTCAAATCACTCAGCTCTGAGATCTCTCTAGGTATGTGACCAGAAAGATTTGTATTGGACAAGTTAAGATATTCTAAACCAGAAAGCATCTCGATCCTCGGAAACATCCATCTGTTGAATCTATTCCAAGCTAGATTTAAGTGCTTAAGCTTCTTGAGCAGTGTCAGATTCTTGAAGATATCTCCACTGAGCTCATTCTCAGACAAGTCCAGATAAATCAAACTAAACCAGTTGGAATCTACCTGAGAGATATGACCTTGAAACCGGTTTTTGCTGAGATCAGCCACCTCAAGACTCTCCTTGAATAAACTTGTTGCCGAGCCTTCAAACTGATTCCCTGAAATGTTGAGAGAACTTATGGATTTCATATCAGCAAAATCTGTGTCCCTGCCATGAATCTTGTTTCCTGCAAGGTTCAAAATTTTGAGCTTTGAAAATGCAGAGCCGAACCCATCAGGAAGAGTCCCTTCAAGCCGGTTAAAGGAGAGATCAATTGAAACCAGAGATTGGCAACCGAGAAGTCCTCTTGGGATTGACATCTGAAACCCATTGTGATCAAGCATCAAGACTCTCAAGCTAACAAGAGATTCCACAGCTTCAGGGATTTCACCAGAGAAATTGTTGTGAGAGATGTCAAGGGACTCAAGCTGCCCAAAATTCCCAACATTGCTAGCGAAAGAGCCTGAGATCTGGTTGAATGAGAGGTTGAGATTCTTCAGAGTGGTCAAACTCCAGAAATCAGATGGTAAAGCAGAGATTTTGTTGTTGCTGAGATCCAAAGATTGAAGCTTGCTGAGTTTACCAATGGTTGTGTCAGGGATTGGACCAGACAAACCCATTCCAGAAGCAATTAACACAATCACATGCTCATTCTGAGAATCACAGAACAAGCCTTGCCATGAACAGAAGGGAGCAGAGAAGTTGTAAGCTTGAGTAGAGCTTAAACCCATTTGCTTGAAGAACTGAGAGACAAAGAAACCATCTGTGTTTGGTTCTTGGCAAGAAAATTGCTTTAAGAACAGAGGAAGAATCAATGCATAACCCCAGAAACCAAGACCCATTTGACAAGTCTCTGAAATTAATACTCAGAAAACCCTAAGAGCAAAACAACAAAAACCTCTCCCCTCAAAGAAAAGTTTTTAGAAAGCAAAATCCCACTAAAGCTGCTTTAGGGTACCTCATGCAAAAACCCAGAAAGCTCAAGCAGTTGAAGACAAGAAATGGAAATTTGATATAGAGTAGAGATCTGTGAGGATAGAAAAAGTGTTTATTTCACTCTCTGTGGTGCTTCTCAAGTACACGAGAGAACAAAAGGGTCATAAAATCAAGAAAAAGGAGCATTTTTGTCGCTGCATAACATCATGGATAAGTGAACTTGGAGTAAGATTAATATATATAATATTAAGCTTCCTCTACATCTCTGACTATGACAAGACTAGATATTTTAATTGGGAAATTCTAAAATGCCAAAGAGACGGTTAGGAGCAGAAAGGAGTTGAAGCTATTTCATAAATGAGAGAATTCATTTTCACAGATTTCAGAAACAGTATCATTGGTTTCTTTTTCTAGTTGAGAAAGTCATTGATTCTTCTCACCAGAAACCCGTTTTCTTTCTTTTAGGTAAACGTAAAACCCATTTCACTTTTCTCCTTTTTTTATTCTTTTATCTAGCTAAAGTTTAACTTTGTTTCTTTTAATAATGTGAAAATTCTGAGCCATTAATTCAGAATTTTTCTAAGCTCAAAATTAATTTTTGATAATGTTGTAAAGGATCCACGAACATAAGAATTGAGCTCAGGTTAGGTAATAAATTGGAATAATTTGATAAGAGATTTCTAGTGCAGTTAAAGATGTTAGCCGTGATTCTATGCTAATTTTGAGTGTGGTACAAGTAGAACAGATGTTAAATAATTCGTGAAAAAAAATGCCAACATCTTAACACGATAAAATATGGATGACATTCAATTATTGAAGTTTAGGTGATCTTTAATACCAAAATAGAAAACACTTTCTTCATTATTCTTATTTTCCAAAAAAATCTCCTTTTGCATTGCACTTATTGAGAACTATATCTTCATTGATGGTTAACAAGTCATGCCATTAAAGGTGTGTACAAAGTATGTTCTTTATCATTTTAGATTGTCGGTTGTAATTTTTCTACATTTTCCTTAGCAAGTTGTAGTTTTTTACGTATAGGTTTAATGATCCTCACAAATCATTACGTATCGGAATATCGGATTAATGATAATTTACATGCAAACTTTAGTTCTCAGGCTCGATCCAAAATATCATTCTAGAAAAAGTTAGAGATTAAAGTTTATTCCATTGTATTTTAAATGATGATTGGCTATATTTGGACCCTATAAACTGGTAAGAAAACCCAAAAATCTACAGATCTCATATATTAGTCTAAGTATATTTGGAATTCATCCCGTTAACAAAAATGTTTCAAAATTTGTGAAACAAATTAAACTCTACAAAAAAGAAATATCGAAAAGGTTTCAAAAGGTTAACATTGACAAGAATTTAAGAAAACAAAGAAATCAATTCTGTCGCGAGTCGCGACGATTTTGATTATGAGTTTGATACTTAAGGATGAAATATAAATGATTGTGATTAAATTTTAAAACTAGTTGATTCTTGTGATATCATTTTGTTAATCGAGTCTTATGATAGTTAGTGTTGGTGATTAGAAAAGTATTAGAAGAGCTGGCGTACAAGTGACGTGTAACATCCCTCACCTTGTGAGACTCGATGAAATATTGCATGAGAAATCAAAGGGGAAACATTTACTTCATTGACTCTGATTTTCTGAAAAGAACGAGTTCCCCGACAAATTATTTATTTCTTTCGAAAGTTATTTATTGTCCATTAATTCTTTATTTATTTATAAGCATATGCTATTGTTTTCCCAATAAAAGTCTGCAAACCAACGGATAAAATTCATATTTTTAAAAAAAAAAACTAGAATTTTCTTGAATATTTTGCATTCAAAAATGTGAAACAATGTTCTGTATAGATCAAAAACAAATTGCTAAAACGACACAATATGTAAACAGAGGGAACAAATTTATTCGAAATCGGTTACATAAACAAAAATTATCTTCGAATTAGAGAGATAAAACTTCAAAGCAATTTGTACCATTCTTGTATACTCTCTTCGTTTTATATTAGTTGTCGTTTTAGAAAATTTTGTTTATTTTAAATTAGTTGTCGTTTTCAGTTTTCAATGCAAAATTATTAGGTTTTTATTTTTTATAATTATTTTTATTATGCAATTTATTTTATTATTGGTTGAATTGTGTTTAAATAGATAATTAATAATATTTTTATATTGAAAAACTAATACAATTAATATTTTCTTAATCTGT